GAGTGTGTTGGTGGGAAAATTGTGTAGGATAATGGAGGTGGCGGTATGATTATTGTGGGGAATATTTTCAAGCTTTTAATCCCACTAACTTGAACCCCACTGTGATCATACACTAAAGTACGGTGGCGTCCAAAAGGGAAGAAGATAGAGCAAAAGAGTCGCCAACAACTTTTTTAGGAACTTGTAAACCATTCACAGGGTGAAGGTTACACCCCCTAACGATCCAAGAGATCGTCAACTCCATAAGGTCATGAACCAAATAAGGGTTCGGGGATGAAGGTACAAATCCAACCTAAAAGAGACTGAACCTGCCCTAATAATAGGTCTCTACTTTATTCTGATTGTATTCATGTGCGCTTTCTGATTAACATGCAATCAATAAGTTAACCCTAAACCTGTTTAATCTATGTTGGTTGAATATTAATGCACAAATAAATCTATTATTAGCGATCACTTGAATTATAATCACATTAACCCTAAACAAGATTATTAATTATCTTATTAAGCGTGATTACAAGTACCAATTCCCTTTAAACATGCATAAAAGGCGTGATCAAGCAATAAAAAATAAATATAATCAAGCAACATAATTATAATATCATGAATAATAAAATTATAATCATAACAATAATAATCATAAATAAAATAATCATCATCGAAATAATAATAATAATATAATCATCATAAATTATAACAATTATAATCATAATCGTGTTAATATTAAAGCATAATAAAAATAGCAAGATCCTAGGCATGATACTAACAAGATTAATAACAAACCCTAGCATGTCACTAAGAAATAAAAATCAAATCTTTAACCCTAACATGATACTAACAAAGTAACAATCATAAATACTAGGAAGAAAATAGGAAGCTTCGTAACAATCATATTTAATATTAAAATTACCCTAGACATGATACTAGGAATATATCATAATAACAATATAAACATGATTTCTACATCATAACATCAATTAAAACCATTAAAGTACTTACTTTGATGCCTCATATCTCTTTCTAATTACAAAATACACACGTTAGTAACTTCAAGGAAAATAATAAACAAACAATTAAATTAAATAATTGAAAGAGAGATTTGGGACCAAACCCTCAGAAATTAAACCTTTCACGTCTAGAGCGAAGGCAACTTCGAATATGGCTAAGTGTTTCTAGATCTTGCGAATGCGGAATTTTGCATTTGAGAAAAGGCTAGTTTAGAAAAAGAGAGAGAGAGAGAGAGAATAATCAAGAAAATCTTGAAGAGAGTTGGTGAATGAAAACGGAGTTTTTAATACGTTATTTATAGAGAAAATCAGTCAAAAAGATAAATTAAACAAAACAGAGTCTGACGCACAAAAACAGAGTTGGCGCCAACCCTGACTAGTTGGCGCCAGGCACCAACACCAACACTAGCGCTAGGCGCCAATGGCTAGCGCCAAGCGCCAGGCCTGGGGTTAGGCGCCAAGCCTAATTTTAACGCGTTTTCGAAAATCCGATAAGTTTGCCGTACGGGAGGATAAAATCATATAATTTCCTCGAAAATGCTATTTGATTTTAATTAAAACTCTGAAAAGTCAACAAAAGTCAATTTATCAATGCTAATTGAATTAGGAATGAAAAGAACCTTCTAGAAGAATCTAGAAGACTAAAACCATTCCTAATTGCATTAGGAATGATAAATCATATTAGGCCCTCCCCTAGATCATTGGGCCGTACATAAAGCTCAAACCGGGCCCAGTTTAGTAAATTGGCCATAACTTCCTCAATATTCATCGGAATTGGGTTCATAATATATCGTTGGAAAGGTTTTTGCAAGCCCCATCCAACTACACTACTATTGGACCCATATCATGGGCCAACCAAACTGGATTGGCTGTTTTCTTAAAATAAGTTTTCAAAAACAGAGAGGAGAGAAAATAAAATAAAAAACCTTTCCGCAACACTAGACTTTCCACACTTTCACTTCATTCGATTATGATTCGACGTGAAAGGTACTCATCACCGAGTTTGGTTTTGGGAGACACATTTGGGTGTCTACAATTATACATTATTCCCGATAGTTTGCTCCTTTTGTTTATTTTTAAATTTGGGAAAAATTTGTTTTGATAACCAAATACATTGTTTGGAACTTTGAACTCCTCTCTAATAATGGGAATGTAGTAACATTTTTTTTGTAAGTATTGATGCATATTTTTGTCTTATTACCTTACAGGAACAAGGGAGCATGATGTTTTTCCTTAACAAATCGAAAACGTCATGTGCATTTTGGATATAATAGTGGTATCATGAATATTAGATAGAGTTTAACTACGTTTATAATTTTCCAATGTATTTTCCCAAAGGTTTTTTCCATGTGTTTTGAGAAACAATTAATTTATAATATGATTGTCATATGAAAATTCTTAAAGTTGTCATATTAGTTATCTTTGAAATGTAATTATAAGGGACCAGGGTACAAGTATTATTATTGTGAAGTGAATATATTTTTGTCACATAAAACAGGTTGGAGAAATTCAGTTACAAGAACGATAGGACAATAAAATAAATATCAATTTTTGCCCCAAATTGTCTTATGGTAACCAAAAAGTACTGCACATTACAATTAGAATTTGAAATTATCATTATATTGACAATATGGGCAACATAGATGTAATTTGGTTGCCCTAAATCACATTGGGTGACAACAATATTGTTGCCCCTATCTATATATTTGGCGCTACACTGTATATTTGGGCAACATAAACGATAGTTCGTTGCCCCAAATCGTTTTGGGCGACAATAATATTGTTGCCCATAATATTCTAACAAACTGCAAATCATCCTTTTTTGGCGACTATAACACTCGTTTGTAGCCCAAAACCAAATTGGGCAACAATATACATCGTCGCCCAAAAGTAATTATGGGCGATGAAGCACACAGTCGTCGCACATAAAGGTACTTATTATAGGCAAAAAAATCAAAACTCGTAGTCGAAACAGTATTATGCGCAACGCATGTCACCGTCACCCTAACTTATATATGGGCAACGCCATATGAAGTCGTCGTCCAAAACTGTAAGGGCGTCGACCCTTGGGCAACGAGCCCATGACGACTTCCTAGTCGTTGCACAATGCTTTGGGCGACGACAACTGAGCCTTGGGCGACGAATTCTTTTGTTGCCCAAAGGCTTTTTCCTTGTAGTGAAATTGTGATCTTCTTAGAATCGTTTTAAGTGATGTAGTATTCAAATATTTTTTTTATTATAATTTACATTAGTTCGTAATTAAATTTATAATTGGTCAAATCTATGCATTGGAGACTATATAAGATATAAGTGAGTTGAACAAAAATGTATGGTGAGAATACTTAAAACTAACTTAAAAAGCATCATTTAGTTTGAAAATAAAGCTATGTCACTAAAATAATTTATTAGCCTTTTAATTAAGTTATTTATAATTTCTTTTTTTTAAAAAAATTATTCCCCACATGTACCATGATAATCAAAAGGGTTTTTTATTTTTATTTTTTATTTTTTTTTGTGTTAAGAGAGCCGTAAGGGGAGTGGTGAGGATCGATTCTAGGATCTCGTGAAGCCAGGAGGAAATTTCTAATCACTTAACTTATCTTTCACTCTCATAATATTAGGGTTAATGAGAGGATGACAAAGTCCAATTATTCTTCTCTCCACATACCATTTCAACAACCATATCATACCACATAAAAAAGCAACTATCATTGTTAGTTGACACGAACACTATAAGAGGGGGAGTGAATTGTATGTGAGTTCCTAGTGACTACTTTTGCGGAACATAAAAACAAAATGTAAAGGAACTTGCAATGCACACAATATTTTACGAGGAAACCTTCCAGGGCCCAACTAGAAGTAAAACCTCGACTCTCTAAGGGATTCCCAAAACCAAACCAATTCACTATGATAGGGAAAATTTACAAGTTACAACCTATTATACTCATCAGACCTTTACTCACAAGTTTCAAATTGAAATTGCCACACAGTAAAACCTTATTCTACCCAACCTAAGTCCATGACTTAGATTCACTCGTACATCTTAAGCACTTTCACTCAGCTTCAACCTAGAAGCTTACAAAACTGTATGCAAAGATATAATTCACACATACACCCCCAATAACTGAACCAATACTATGGGGAATAAATTTCATGCGTTAAACCCCTAGCTTGAACCCCACTGTGATCATACACTAAAGTACGGTGGCGTCCAAAGGGAAAGAAGATAGAGCAAAAGAGTCGCCAACAAGTTTTAGGAACTTGTAAACCGTTCACAGGGTGAAGGTTACACCCCTTAACGATCCAAGAGATCGTTAACTCCATAAGGTGTTGAACCAAATAATTATTCAGGGATGAAGGTACAAATCCAACCTAAAAGAGATTGAACTCGCCCTAATAATAGGCCTCTACTTTATTCTGATCGTATTCATGTGCGATTTTTGACTAACATACAATCAATAGGATAAACCGTAAACCTGTTTATCTATGTTGGTTGAATTTAAATGCACAAATAAAACTATTATTGGCGATCACTTGAATTATAATCATATTAACCCTAAACAAGATTATTAAATATCTTATTAAGCGTGATTACAAGTACAAATTCCCTTTAAACATGCAATAAAGCCGTGATCAAGCAATAACAATAAAAATCAAGCAACATAATCAATAATCAAAATAATAATTATAATCATAATAATAATCATCATAATAACAATCATATTAATCATCATCAAAATAATAATAATAATAATATTCATAATCATCATAAATTATAACAATTATAATCATAAACATGTTCATGTTAATATTAAAGCATAATAATAGCAAGATCCTAGGCATGATACTAACAAGATTAATAACAAACCCTAGTATGTCACTAAGCAATAAAAATCAAAGCTTTAACCCTAACATGATACTAACAATCATAAATATTAGGAAGAACATAAAAGGCATCATAACAATCATACTTAATATTAAAATGCAAATGCAACCAACAAAATTACATCAAAAAACGTCTTGTTCAATTCACTACTTTAGAATAACAAAATTCAGCTAGAGCTAGAACAAGAAGGGGTTTGTACGCTACCTACATTTGTTCAAGATCGCGACTGACCAAAAAGAAATTAGCACCAAGACGTTTGACAGCTTCATCCTTCTTATTAGCTGAGGTACTAATAACAGTGACCTTAGTCCCGAGAGCCTTAGCAAATTTCACAGCCAGGTGTCCTAGACCGCCAAGGCCAACAACACCAACATGTAGTCCAGGTTTGTCGAGACCATAGTATCTCAAAGGGCTATAGACAGTGATGCCTGCACATAAAAGCGGGGCAGTAGCATCAAGTGCCATTTTCTGAAGAATATGTATATCAAAATGCTCGTCTACCACCATAATGTCGGAGTAACCTCCATACGTATTTGTGCCGTCATAGTAAGTAGATCCATAAGTTAGAAACATGTTGGGACAGTAATTCTCAAGATTCTTGCCACAGTTATCACATGAACGACATGATCTAACCATACATCCCACCCCAACTTTTTACCCGACTTTGAATTTTTGCACCTTCGTCCCAACTTCAGTAACCTGATCTGATGTGGAAAGAAATGATAAACATAAACGAAAACAAATCTGAGAATATACTCACATAAAAGAAAACATTAATATACATCCATACATGTAATCAAGAGCTTCCATTGGAGTTTTAGCATATTCTCACATACTAGCAACTAATGCTTCCTCAAAACTAGCTACTAAATACAAATTTGAGTAAAAATATCAAGATATCAACTATTGTAAACAAAGCCAGCTTTTACACCATTGCTCCTTCCCCTCCCCCCACCCCCTAAGATAAACCTTTGAAAACTATGTTAACAACATCCACCTAGCAAGAAATAGAGTTACCTGAGACTAAACATCTTAATTGGAAAATTCTGATAAAAAAAACCTAATTTTGGGAGTCTATTAATTTGTACTGAGAAAACACTGCTTATTCAGAAAATTCTGATCAAGAAAACCTTAATTCAGAAGAATGTTGGAGTCCAAGTATTACTTTGTACTTAGAAAAATTAATCAGATATTGCCTATCTAGATTTGAGATATATGATACAGAGTACCACATCACAAGTTCACAACAATCTTTCATCATCCATTCCCTATATAACATATGCCATACAGAGTTTTCTCCTAAGGAGATGCTGAGAAAATGACTGATGATTTATGTTACACAACTCAACTACTAGTGTGCGTCTGGCATCAAGGGTATATTTACTAGATTAATATATGTCCGAATGTCACATATAATCCATTTTTCAGAAAATCTTACACTTGTTGGGTCCAAAATGAATCGTCATGTTTCATGTATCTTTTCATCTATACATGCTAACCCAAGAAAACTAAACCTCTCAGCAAACCCACAATCAATAAACTTGAAGGCAGCTTCATCTACACTCTATCATCACATAGCAACCCTACTTAGCTCTCTAATCTCTACCCCTCATTGAACAATCCATACTCAAATAAACTCATACATAATCCAACATATACATCCCCTCCTTCAATTTCCTGCATTAATCTCATCATTGTTAAGAAACACAAACTGCCTATTCATAGGACATTTAATCAAACTTCGAACCATTCGAAATATTCACAATTTTTAGTCCTACAACATACAACATATCAACAACTACAAATCAACATACCATCTAGGAAAACAACAGCAACTGCATTTTCATAAAAACAATCAAAAGACATAATCAATCATTCAATACAAAATTCTAAACAATTCATCTCACATTAATTAAACTATAAAACTAGCAGGAAAATAACACAAAAACTTTAAAATGTGAAAGGTAAAAGTATACACTAGATAAGCGCCATGTGCAAAAGCTCCAACAAGAACAATAGTAAACAAACGATCCTTAATAACAGGTTTATGCCTCAGTGATATTCTAACTGCACTCAGAAATCAAAATAAATAAAAAAAAAAAAAACCAAAATTAAAATCAACAAAAACCCAAAAAAAATTCATAAAAATTAGATGAAAAAAGAGGGAATTACTGAGAGGAAGAACAAGCAACTACTTTAAATCAAGTTCTATAATTATTTAACTTTTGTCGCAGATTAACAAGCAACTGATATAATACTAATCAAAGCTCCAGCTACATAAGAACCATTAGAATTCATAGCTTTGTAATTTCATTCATAAATTCAATAAAACTAGGTTTAACAAATTATATACCGTATGACAGCAAGATCTCCGAAAAGCTTGTAAAGAGGAAATCGCACCGAGTAATCGCAGAAGAGGAGATAATTAGGCGGTGAAATTGGAGGTGAAAATGAAGGGAGGTTCAACAATGGTTGTAGGAGGGAGAAGATGAAGGTAAGGAGAGTGAAGTTGGGGTATATATATATATATATATATATATATATAGAGAGAGAGAGAGAGAGAGAGAGAGAGAGAGAGAGACTGACGACTAGTTAGGGTTTTTAACATCTAGGAGTAACTTATTTGGATCGGGCAAATAGTGGCTGTTACAAACACCAAATTATTTGTAACGAACAACTAGTGTCCGTTACAAATAATGCACTTTTTGTAACGGGCATTATTTTCCCCGTTACGAATAATATTTTTCGTACCATTATGATGTTTTATTGTAACAGACCGTTATTTTCCCCGTTACGAATAATATTTTTCGTACCATTATGATGTTTTATTGTAACAGACCGTTATTTTTCCCGTTACAAATAAGTTTTTTGTAACTGGAAAATTACTGCCTGTTACAAATGACATTTTTTCCACTAATGAATGAACTTGGCAAACTTACACTATTAAGAACTCTTCGAATTCTTCACACATAAACTCCCTGAAAATATGAAGCAAAACTTTTGTATACACCCGGTTTTCAGTAATTTACTGTACATCGAGTACACTTTTGTCAGATTTAATGTCACTTTTGTCAAATTTAGTGTCACTTTTGTCAAATTTATCAATGAAGCATAAATAACTCATATATATATCAGGGTAACTTTTATGCGTTTTAATGTAACTTTTGCGTATTTTATTGTCACTTTTATAACGGATGTTCAGTAATTACTGAACATCCGTTTTATTTAAAAGTTTGTGAAATGTGAAATGTGGTTACTACAATTTATATAAGATTAGCTCATATAAAATGTAGGGTTATCAAAAGATAATTAGGTTATTTTACCAAAATCACAAAACACGATTTTAAGTAAATCTATTTAGAATAAAATCTTCTTGAAAAACTTATTAAAGATAAACTATCAAAAGAATAATATCTTTTGATATAATCTGTTTTTATGGAATAAAATCTTTCTAAAAAAACTTTTCATAAAAACTTATCCTTTTAAAACTTTCCTATTTTAAGCTTGCCAAGCTTTTTGTCACGTTTCTAATAAATCTCATGTGTATTCCTGCCAAACATATTTACAGCAATTCTAAAAATTAAAAACTTAACAAAACTAAATTGCTCTGTCAATTATTGCATTCCACGATACTTGGGCTTCTCGCAGTCCAAGACTAAGTTCCTGTTGTCACTTGAATTCTAATTCTCAACTAGAACTTCGCATACCAAGTTCTTGTGAAACTTGCTGACTTCAACGCAGGCCAAGTTGAGCTTCTCAACTTGCTGTCTTCATGTTCTTGTTAGGGAACTCAGTCATTAGAACTCTTCTTCTATCTTCTTTAACTTACCTTGAAATTTCTTCGAGTCTTCATAGTTAGGTTACTCTTCCACTTCCAAAGTCTACTTCACCTGTTCTAATTAGAACACTTAAAGAATTCTTATTACTTGAAATTTGCTAGTTTATATTCATCATAATCAAAACTCTTAAGCTTCAACAATTGTATACTTATTAACCTTTTATAAGTAACATATCCATCAATGCAAGACAAAAGAAAAACTGCTTCAATCAATACTTATCAAACATTAAGATATTTTTAGAGGATTTAATAACACGAAGTATATTTTAATGTTGTTTTTTTTTTCTTTCACAAATTGAAACATCTTGTACATCAGCACTTCTACTTCTAATAATGTTTAATAGGAAAGGAGTATTTTATAGCACTCCAAAACTCCAAAATAGCTTTTTATTTTTTATTTATACAATCCCTCCAAAACCTTTAATCTTATTTTAAAAATTCTTAATAACCAACACTCAAAGTCAAAATATAATAAAATAATTTTTTAGTTGGTGGTAAAATAGTGTTTTTCTTTTTTTCTTTTTTTTTTTTTTTTTTTTTTTGGTTTTGGTTGTTGTTGTTGTTGTTGTTGTTTAGATGGTAAAAAACAATTTAGGTTTTTCTGAAATAAGGTGGTAAAAATAAAATAATCTAACAATAATAACAAATAAAAATGTTGTGAAAACATTTTTGGCGTCTCTTGGATGCCATACTGTTTTGTTAGTTAAAGCCACAAAGGAATTGTTACTCCACGCTTGCTTATCATTAGGCCACTTGTTGTACTGTGTCTATTCTAATTTCTAAAGGCAATTTGGTTCAAAACTTTTACCACAAAAACCCATCAAGTAACAATAATATGATTGAAATTTTCTACTTCATATAGCTATGATTATGTTTCCGGCATGCTTTCATATCAAATAAAGTTGTTAGTGATAGTCTTTGTTTTAACAGCTAGATGGCCAGCTAATCATTAGTTCCCTTGGGGAAAAATAAATCACGGATATAGACACGTTCGAATTTTTGACAGTACATAAAAAAAATTATCCGATTTTACTTTTTTACTTAGGATATTTTAGTCACATGCACACGTACACTAATTTCATACGATTGTTTGTGATTAGTTGTCACATTTTTTAAGATAGTTGTTTGTGATTAGCTTATCATACAAGTAACGGAGTAAGTAGTTAGAGCATGGTGACTAATTTCTGAACGGAACGAGTGTTACATTGAAATTACAAACTGCAAAGCATGTAATTTTCTTAAAGACTTTGAATTGAAGAATTTTTTTTTTTCTCAAAGTGGATCAAATACAGAAACAGGCCACAAGGCTTTTATAGAGACTGTTCCTGTTAGGAACTCTTCTGAAACACTGAGGAGGTTGTTTCAGCCAAGCCACACAAAAAGTACACAAAAAATAAAAAATAACTATAATGGTAAAAAAAAAAAAAAAAAAAAAAAAAAAAAAAAAAAAAAAAACATTATTTAGACAAAAATTAACCCTGATTAAGTATATATACTATACACTCAAATTTGATTATATTCACACTATAACAACCAATCTCATCCTACAGAATGCCGCCTTCGCCTCTGGAAGAAGAATCGAGATTCTGAGTTAGCCTTAGACCCTAGTGGCTTAACACTGTTAAGCCGAAAAAGGGCATTAAGCTTACTAAGTTTCTTGGTAAATGACTTGAACAACTTATTAGCAGGATGTGATCTTACCATATCCTGTTTCATGGAAACATGATCTTTTTCTAAGTCTGTTAGCCTCATTCTCATCCTTGCCACTTCTAGCTTGAGCTCGCGATTTTCTCTTCTAACCGAGGCATAGTTGTCCCTAGGAGATATAGCTCCACTTGCTGCTCCACTACTTGATCTTTGAGGGAAATGATGTCCATTAATCGAGCCAAAGAAGAACTGGTTTTGGCCTCCATTCATTGCGTTTCTTAGCCTGATTTGTTCAAAGTAGAGTACTTGTACCGCCATTTGTACAGGAAGTCGTTCATTCTGAGCTGCATGACTGCAGGCTTCTTGAGAGAGTTTTTGACAGTCGATAGTTTTGCATAGCCTGTATCTCTCTGAATCCTTCATGTTTGGATGAACCTGAAATTACAAGGACATATGAGGTCTAATGTTCATTCTGTTACAAGTGATTGTTTTATTTGCCTGGCTTCAGATGATGATTGAGATCCAGAAATATGTTTTATACTCTCAGAAATTATAATGAAGCATGTAAATTTGTAGGTTTACAATTCAACATGTACTGGTTTATGGGAATGCGGATGCAACAAGAAAGACATACATTACCTTGAGGAAGATATCCACTGCTCTATACAGACCATCAGTAACTACGCGAGCATGATCAGGCAGAAGCTCTGCAAGAGCTATGAACTTGGAAGGTGTCAAGTTTGAATCCAAGGCCACTTCTGCAAGAAAATTGTCTAACAATTTCGATACCTTGATAATCGAGCTTTGCTTAGGAGAGCCAGGGCTATCAAAATTGTACATCATTTCATTTTCATCCCTCAAGTGAGTATCATCATCATCATCATCCTCATCTAAGTTCAAGAAAATTGAGAAAATTCTCAACACCGAGTCAATATCATACATGGGACTATGATTATTCACTTGAGAACTTGCAGGAATAAGTATGTCTTCCAAGATTGCTTGGTCTAATTGCAAGCCAATCCTTCTCTCTAAGTCGGCTCTACAAGATGTAGAAGCCAACTGCGCAATTGCACTCTTTAACAAGCTTGAAAGGAAAGCCATAGGAACCAAGCTTTTTCGTGATTGTGTTGGTAACAAGCTCACCAAAGTTTCAACAAGTATCCTTTGTTTCTTTTGAAGTTCTATATCTAAGTAGTTCCCCTTTAGAAGTTGTGGATCTCTTACAACGACGCCTTGAAGAGAAGTTTGAGCATAATTTATCAAAATCTTGCTTATCAAATCTTGTTTAAGACCCTTCAATTTTACTGCTGTCAAAACCCTTTGGAAGAAATCAAGATTCAAAACTGCTAGTGATTTCCCCCACCAATCTGCTGGTGTTTCTGGCTCCAAAGCCAATAATCCTTTAACTGGGAAGTTATGTTCGAGTTTTAATAAACCCGAACACAGCTGCTCCTTACATGCATTATTAGCAATTGCAGTAACTATCCTGTTAACTAGATTAATATCCTCTGCTATAGGCAAGAGTGTCTCGCATTTGTGTAAAACTGAGATGGAATTTGATATATTTGGGAGGACCATATCTTTAAGATATACCTCAGTTCTTGTTTCTAGGCTTTTTTCTGCATACTCTTCAGTCATTTCAAGGAAATGTGCTGCACAACGTAGCATAGCTACATTCGACAGAGTGATTTCAACATTGACCCCATAACAAAACTTGGCAGCAAGCTCAAATGCCTCTGATCCGCCTGGCACTGATGGGAGACTAATCTTCGAGATCTTTGAATCCTTCGCCTCCAGCAACAGTTTCCTGATTCTTCCACTGCGAGAAACAAGAGGAAACTGCAGCAAAATACATGCACTGTTAGTTACTGACACTCCTATGTTATCTGAATCTTATACTAATATTCATTAAGGTTTAAAAGGGATGTCCAAACATATCGAATTAAGCAATTTCACATTAAACTAGAACAACAACATAAATCAGTCTATGATGAAATAAAAACAGAAAGACTAAGCTAAAAGAAGATTTTGCTGTTAAAGTAAGAACAAAGCATTTGTGCAGAAA